GTTTCAAAACTGTTATAATCATATTTTGTTAAAATAATATTACAATAAAACAATATGTATACAATATGGAGACATTTAAGAAGGAAGAGGTAGATATAACATTTATTTCCTCCTTTGGGGGTGGGGTGGAGGATAGGGATAGCGGTTGCTCTTTGCAAGGGCACTTTGTATTTCCTGTCAGAAATTGTCTTTCTCTTCTAGGCTCTGTTCCCTGCAATTCTCCCCCTCCCCCTCCCCTCTTCCCAACCCCTCTCACAAAGATGTTTTAACAATTTTTAAATCCCCAAATCTATCTCTCTATCCTTCTCTCTGTCTCTCTGTCTCTCTCACTGTACCTCTCTACCTCTGTCTCTCTGTCTATCTCACTGTACCTCTCTACCTCTGTCTCTGTCGCTCTCTCTCGCTGTCTGTCCCACTCATCCCCCCCCCCTACACACACTCTCTCTCTCCTCTCTTTCTCTCTCTCTCTCTCCCTCTCTCTCTCTCTCTCTCTCTCTCTCTCTCTGTCCCTCCACTCCCCCACCATTTACCTGATGCACAGACAAGGTGGCGTTGTAAGGCTCCACGACCACATCCGACACTTTGGGCGAGGGGACGATAGAGTAGGTGCTCATGATCCGGTCTGGGTACTCCTCTCGCACCTTGCTGATCACCAGTGTGCCCATGCCTGAGACATCATTCGTCGACTAATTGGTATATGTTTTATGGTACTATTGACACAATTTGGTCCTTCATACGTCATGATTGAGATATTGAGTATGTTTTACGGCATCATCGACACAAATTGGTGCCACCTGCGCCAGAACCAGCATAAAGCATATCCATTTTGGGTGTTTTAATCTACCATAGTTACTATTTAAGGTACACCACGGCAGTAGCCAACAGCCAGATAAAGTTGATTTCGGTATCCAAAACCGATTTTCCGATTTAGGACTATTTTACTTGAGCAACATCTGCTTTATCCATTGGAAATATGTTCAAGTGTCTAACACATCTATAATGTGCTCACAATATACCATGTTTTTTAACATTGTGTTGAAATGTACCTGTATGAATTCGGTTTTTTTCCAGTTTTCTCAAAACTATGATTTTATTAGGGGGGGGGGTTACCTATGCAGAGATATTTCTGAAAGTAAATGTCACAGCTAAATCCCACTTTGCAGGACTGTTTCTATATAATATGTTTGCAACATACTAAAAGATTATTGTCATATTCCTGTAGGTTTTCTCTCAGTGTGAAAAAGATTGACAGTATCACTCTGATTTGTTTATCAATTTTTTGTCCGAGTATCGTATATTACACTAAAAGTGCAGTTACAAGAAACATATGAGACCTAAGAAAGTAGATCTTTAGTACGTTGCAGGTTGTATATACCGAAACACTGTGTGAAAATATTAAAGCTGTATCAATTCAATCTTTTTCAGAATCTCTGCATAGAATTTGAGTGCATTTTGGTGTGTCGAACCCAATGCATCTAAAGAATTCAGAAATTTGACTATAAAATCACATAGGGATAGTTAAGTTTCTGTTTCTTGACCCACATTGGTTATTGGGAAGCCCAGTATACATGTACTTAATTTAGAACCCAAACAAAAAAAATTCACTTCAGCTGTACCTAGTGTCCCTACTTACCACATTGTCACAGCTGTTGGATGTAACATCATATTTGTAACATTTTGAATATATGACTTTATGTAATTGGCTTAATGTCTGAAATAATTTTTAAAACATTTGAAAACTATTAATTCAAGGGGTGTACGTGTTTATGAATTGACGG